CAATGACTTAAATCAAGAAATAGTTTTCTAAGATCTTTCAACAGGGAAAGGTCGAGGAGGAGGAGACCGCCCTCCTGGCAGAGCAGAGAAAGAGAAGGGGCTCCATGTGGCAAGCCTCTCCCTCCACTCCCATGGTGCCCACTCTCTTTATCTACCATTTGTATGAGTAAAAAATGTGTGTGTGTGTATTTGTGTGGGGGAGGCATGCACGCACACCTGGCTCCTCATGCTTTAATGACCAGCTGTTTCCCTGCGAGGAGGTGGAGGGGGCGTGGCCATGGGTCTCTTTGTAGACATGCAGTTTCTGCGTTTTGTTTTTGTGGTTTTTTTGTGGTTTTTTGTGGTTTTTTGTGGGTTTTTTGAGTGGAGAACATACATGGGGTTGTTAGGTGTATCGTGTCCAAATTTGGTGCCAATTGCCCCAGTGGTTTTTGAGTTCTGTGAATACCACAAACAAACATTACATTTTTATTTATATAGATTATAACTTTTATTATATTGATGGGATTTTTATCTCTCCAACGTTAGAACTACGGCACTTAAAGTGGCACTTAAAGTGTGGACACACCCCAAGGTCTGGGTTTCAATCCAGGTTGTTGCTCTGCAAAATGCAGATCTTTCGAGCCTGTCTTTGGAAAAACTAAGGCGTGAAGACATTTTTGGGGAAAGGAAGGAAAAAAAAAAACCCCTAATTGTGAGCCAAAGCAAGGCCTGGCCCTTTGCCACCTTGGCTTCGACGCAGGCACATTTTCCAGAACAATCAGCTCACTTTCCGAAGCCAAAAACAACCCAAAGAGTGGAAAAGTTAAATGCAGGGAAAGGCCAATCCCTCCCCAAAAAAACACCAAGTACATTCCTCTTTCCTACCGTCCAAATCGACATGTTCAGGGAAAGCAGGGGCGGCTCAACCCATACGCAGAGTAAGCATTCGCGGTACAGTTGATTTTGCCCAGGGGCGCTCTTGAGGCGCTCTTGGGGGAAAATAGACCTTGACATATGCGAGTTGTAGTTACTGGGATGTATAGTTCACCTACAATCAAAGAGCATTCTGAACTCCACCAATGATGGAATTGAACCAAATATGGCACACAGAACTCCCACGACGAACAGAAAATATATATCAATGATTGGTTGGGTGGGTGAGTGGGGGCCACCGTGAAAATAATTTGTTATTCCAATGTCCTTCCAAAGAAATATTTCCCACGAATGACACCTTACGGAGAGTGGGTTTTGCAAAAGGGAAAAGGCAATACTAACTTTTGCTTGGTGCATTCGAATATTTATTTCATGCTAATGTGTTTTAATATGTGTGTATTTTACAGGGTGTTTTCAAACGATTGTGTACTTACATCTCCCTCGAGGGTGAGCTTGGAGAGGATTTCGTGGACAGTAGACATCTTGGAAAGATGCTGGGGAAGAAAAAGAGATGACATAAAATTATGAATATTAATAATTATTATATTATTATTAATAATAATAATATCTCACTTTCCTCTCCTACAATGACACACACAGTGGTTCTAAAAATGCACATAGCATTTGTGAGCCCACATTGGACAGTTACACCAGTTTCATAGCACTTTAACGGTCACAGCTTGATACTACGCGGCATATGTTGGATTTCCCCCCCCCCCACCAATGCCAACCTGGGATATATAGTTTTGGTAAGCACTTGGCATACCATGGTTTCATCCTATGCAATCTTGGGATATATATAGTTTGGTATATAGTTTGCATGTCATGGTTTCACCCTATGCAATCCTGGGATATATAGTTTGGTATATAGTTTGCATGCCATGGTTTCATCTTATTCAATCCCGGGATATATAGTTTGGTATACAGTTTACATGCCATGGTTTCACCCTATGCAATCCTGGGATAAATAGTTTGGTATATAGTTTGCATGCCATGGTTTCACCCTATGCAATCCTGGGATATATAGTTTGGTAAATAGTTTGCATGCCATGGTTTCATCTTATTCAATCCCGGGATATATAGTTTGGTATATAGTTTGCACGCCATGGTTTCACCCTATGTAATTCTGGGATATATGGTTTGCTAGTTTACATGCCATGGTTTCACACTATGCAATCTTGGGATATATAGTTTGGTATATAGTTTGCATGCCATGGTTTCACACTATGCAATCCTGGGATATATAGTTTGCCATATAGTTTGCATGCCATAGTTTCACACTATGCAATCTTGGGATATATAGTTTGGTATATAGTTTGCATGCCATGGTTTCACCCTATGCAATCCTGGGATATATAGTTTGCTATATAGTTTACATGCCATGGTTTCACACTATGCAATTCTGGGATATGTAGTTTGCCATATAGTTTACATGCCACAGTTTCACACTATGCAATCTTGGGATATATAGTTTGGTAAGCATTTTGCACATCATGTTTCACCCTATGCAATCCTGGGATGCGCAGTTTGCTGAGCAGTTTGATACTACTTGTCTTTATGCTAGGAAACCTTGGGATGTATAGTTTGCTGAGCAGCTTGATAATACTCAGCATATCTAGGCTTTCCTTCCATGCAAACCTGGGATATATAGTTTGGTAAGCACTTTGCATACCATGGTTTCACCCTGAGCACACCTGGGATACATAGTTTGGTAAGCATTCTGTATGTCATGGTTTCACCCTATGCAATCCTGAGATATATAGTTCGGTAAGCATTTTGCACGTCATGTTTCACCCTATGCAATACTGGGATGCGCAGTTTGCTGAGCAGTTTGATACTACTTGTCTTTATGCTAGGAAACCTTGGGATGTATAGTTTGGTAAGCAATTTGATGCCATCTTGCATGCTTCACAGCTTCATTCTATGCAAACCCGGGATGTACAGTTTGGAGTATACTCTCTGTCACGGATTTTTCCGACTCCAAAACTACGCATTCCAGGAATCCATAGATTGGAGCAGAGAGATACGAGTTGGAATCATGTTGCTATAAACACAAAGCCACGGACATGTAAACATTTCCAGACATTGGAAAGGCATGCCAGGTTTCGGGGAGTGGCATCGAAAACATGTTTTGAACAAGAGCGATGGAGGTTTCCTAACCAAAGTTTAGCCTGTGGCTGTGTCGGATGTTCATGATGGGAATGGGGTTGAAGTTTGTCTGGGCCTGGGCCTGTTGTCAATGGGGATGGGGGCCTTCCTGGGACTGAGTTAAGCCCAAGGGAGAAGCCCACCTCGGAGTGTTTCTCCTGCAGATTCACAAGGTTACATTCCTGGGAGAGGCCCTCAACAGTCTTTCTCTGAGAAACAACTGTCTTCTGAGGATGATTTGTCAGGTGCAGAATTTAATGGGAGTGAAGATAGAAAGCAGGACTTTTGTAAACAGAAACAAAGTTCTCAGACACAATGAAGGTCAATCATCAAGTTTGCAGACGACACCAAATTGGGAGGGAGAGCCAAGACTCCAGAGGACAGGAGCAGGATTCAAAACGATCTTGACAGATTAGAGAGATGATGGGCCAAAAGTAACAAAATGAAGTTCAACAGGGACAAATGTAAGAGACTCCACTCAGGCAGGAAAAACAAAATGCAAAGATACAGAATGGGTGACGCCTGGCTCGAGAGCAGTACGTGTGAAAAAGATCTTGGAGTCCTCGTGGACAGGAAGTTAAACATGAGCCAGGAATGTGATGCGGCGGCAAAAAAAAGCCAATGGGATTTTGGCCTGCATCAATAGGAGCCTAGTGTCTAGGTCTAGGGAAGTCATGCTCCCCATGCTCTATTCCGCTTTGGTTAGACCACACCTGGAATATTGTGTCCAATTCTGGGCACCACAATTCAAGAGAGTAGGCCTGGGTAACAACGGAAAAATTTGTTTCTAAAATCGATTCGTTTTTGGGGGGTTTTTGCGTTTCGATATTTAAAAGAATTCCGAAATTTTTCTTTTAAAAAGTTCGATATTTACGAAATTTCGTAAATGTTAAAAAAAATTACGAAACATTAACGAAAAGAATACGAAACAATAACGAATCGATTCGTTAATGGCGGACGCGACCGCGCAATACGCTATAAAACCTCCAAATGGGACAGGGGGAACTTCTGAAGCTTCCCTCTCCCTCTGTTGTTGACTGTTGGTGTGATATTATAATTTTTTTTCACTAATTAAACAAAAAACAACCATAAAACTTGCCCCAGACATGCGGAAATAATAACGAAACGACCTCAAACCGATAACGAAACGAATACATAACGAATCCGAAGCATTTACGAAACGAATTTAAAAATTCGTTTCGTTTTTAAGTTGCTCCAGAATGGTTCATTATCGCTTCGTTATCAAAAAAAAATAACGAATTTTTAACGAATTACGAATTAACGAAACAAAACCTCCCAGCCCTACAAGAGAGATATTGACAAGCTAAGATTAAAAGATATTCCATGATCTTCAAGGCACAAAGGTCAAACGTAAGATCCAAGGGTACAAAATCCATGGAACAAGGCAGCATGGAAATCCAATACAAAGGTCAGGAGACTAGCAAAACTTGGAACATGAAACTAGGAACACTTGGAAACAAGACTGTCACAAAATTCCAATGTGGACAAGACTGAGCTAACTCTTTCCCTTGTGCCAATATAAAGCTTTTCTTGACCACAGAATTGAAAGAAAAGCATTTCTCTAGCCCTTACAGCCAGATAAAGATTTCTTATCTCTCTTCTCCTGCAGACGAATTAGAATCATAGAATCCTAGAGTTGGAAGAGACCTCATGGGTCATCCAGTCCAACCCCATTCTGCCAAAAAGCAGGAATATTGCCTTCAAATCACCCCTGACAGATGGCCACCCACCCTCTGTTTAAAAGCTTCCAAAGAAGGAGCTTCCACCACACTCCGTGGCAGAGAGTTCCACTGCTGAACGGCTCTCACAGTCAGGAAGTTCTTCCTCATGTTCAGATGGAATCTCCTCTCTTGAGTTTGAAGCCATTGTTCCTTCGCGTCCTAGTCTCCAGGAAGCAGAAAACAAGCTTGCTCCCTCCTCCCTGTGGCTTCCTCTCACATATTTAGACATGGCTATCATATCTCCTCTCAGCCTTCTCTTCTTCAGGCTAAACATGCCCAGCTCCTTAAGCCGCTCCTCATAGGGCTTGTTCTCCAGACCCTTGATCATTTTAGTCGCCCTCCTCTGGACACATTCCAGCTTGTCAATATCTCTCTTGAATTGTGGTGCCCAGAATTGGACACAATATTCCAGATGTGGTCTAACCAAAGCAGAATAGAGGGGTAGCATTACTTCCTTAGATCTAGGCACTATGCTCCTCTTGATGCAGGCCAACATCCCATTGGCTTTTTTCGCCGCCACATCACATTGTTGGCTCATGTTTAACTTGTTATCCATGAGGACTCCAAGATCCTTTTCACATGTATTGCTCTGGAGCCAGGCATCATCGTCCCCCATTCTGTCTCTTTGCATTTCGTTTTTTCTGCTTAAGTGGAGTATCTTGCATTTGTCACTGTTGAACTTCATTTTGTTAGTTTTGGCCCATCTCTCTATTATTATTAGTATTATTGTCTAACCAAGGCAGAATAGAGCATGGGGAGCATTACTTCCTTAGATCTAGACACTAGGCTCCTCTTGATGCAGGCCAACATCCCATTGGCTTTTTTTGCCGCCACATCACATTGTTGGCTCATGTTTAACTTGTTATCCATGAGGACTCCAAGATCCTTTTCACATGTATTGCTCTGGAGCCAGGCATCATCGTCCCCCATTCTGTCTCTTTGCATTTCGTTTTTTCTGCTTAAGTGGAGTATCTTGCATTTGTCACTGTTGAACTTCATTTTGTTAGTTTTGGCCCATCTCTCTATTATTATTAGTATTATTGTCTAACCAAGGCAGAATAGAGCATGGGGAGCATGACTTCCCTAGATCTAGACACTATTGATGCATAGGAAATGGTCTCCCATCCTCGGAAATGGTCTCCCATCCAAAAACAAACCAAGGCTCGCCCTGCTTAGCTCCAAGATCGTTAGAGTATTTGCATCCATTGGGATAAAATGATCCAATCATAGCCCTAAAAGGTCTAAAAGCCCTAAAGGAAGTAAACAAGAATGAAAGGGAAGTCCTTGAGGTCTAGTAACTTGAGATTCTGGTTTCGCAAGGCTGACTTAGGAAAAACCCATGCTGGAAAACAAGAGAAATCTGGTGGAAAAAAGCAAGCAAAGGCATCAATTCCTCTCCACCTCTCGTTCCGACCTCACACTATCTAAATATCATCAGAAGGGTGCGATTCCGAGGAATTTGGATGGATCCATTCCATTCCTGGAGGTGACGCAAGAGCTGAAGGACCTTCCCAAATTCCTCCACCACAAAGTGCCAGTTACAGGGAGTCCCCCCACATAGGTACTCTCATCCCAAAACCTCCTCGCTTTCCAATGTGTTCCAG